CCGCCTGGGACTGGTAGGACATGGTGGATGGGACGGGCCCTCGAGGGGCACGAGAGCGATGGTCAACAAGGACAGGCTATAACGGCATCAAAGGGAAACGCTGATTGCGCGAGAGAGTAAGAAATAGAGGCCGTGTGAGGCTGAAGCCGGGGCAGGACCGAGAGAGGACAGTTGGCGGCGGGGAAGGGGGCGGTACCTGACAGGGCCAGGGGCAAGAAATGACGCCAACAGGGGGGGGTGGAGAGGAGAGGAGAGGAGAGGAAGCGGAGGAAGGAAAAAGAAAAGGGAAATTCTGGGAAACAGGTCGAGGGGATGGGAAACAGCAGCCAGCAGAGCCGGATGGAGATCAGACTGACCAGCAGCAGCAACGCAGCAGGCGTCAGGACTGGAGACTGGAGACTGAATGGATTGGATGGCGTCGGCCGGCTTCCGTTAAGCGTGGAGTCACCGCCTGGCAGTAAGTTTGGTGCAGCAAAAGGCTGAAACAAGGCGGATCTCGGATCTCAGGCTGACAGAAGTGGTTTTACTATATACTGGGGGAGAGGGAGAGAGACAGAAGTTTTGAGGCAAAAGTATCTCCCCTCTTCTCTCTCCTTTCCATCTCCGCAACTGACTTAACGCATCCCGTGATCGCTTGGTGCCTGGAGATCACGGACGGACATCATCGTGATCATCCCGGCTGCAGGCGGTCAGAATCCGGCCATAGCAGTGATGGCAGCGGTCAGTTTAGCTTTACTATCTACTGCGACTGGACGGAGATTTAGGATTAGTGTTTGATGTGACTGGAAGTCATCCGTGAGGCCATCCGACTCGTCTGTTGCCTGAGGCAGCAAAGAGAGGAGATTTACACGTGATAGTCATTAGTCATGAATTGAACCAACCAGCGAATGCGGAGACATCAACCAATCAGACGACTGCCGGTTCCCCACGCGATGCTCCAAAACAGCGAAACCAAAACAAACACAAACACTCGATATCTGGTGATCCTGCAGAGATATCGACATATCTGATCTTTATTGTTGCAATCAGCGGATACCACCAGACATCCATGGTAGTCTACCCAGTAGATAACTCTAAGTCCATCCGGCCAGGGTTCTAATTAAGGTTGTGAGATCCCAGCCGGGTTTGCGGCGGATGCTTGTGCTCTATAGACTTCCGCTGGAATGTGGACGTGCCACTGCATTCATCACAACATTGTATAGCAGGATGCACCAGTGCTCATTGGTAGTGCAGTTAGAATTCCAATCGCTCTCCAGAATGTAGGTGGACAGCTGAAGCCGATCCCATCGGTATTTCCATTTGACAAGGGATCACATCAGAGACAATCAATCGGTGGTGCTCAGCAACTGAAACCCAGCCATTGATCATCGTTTGTCCCGATTTATTGTCAACTATTCCATCTCCTTCCACTGCCACATCAGCTACGTTATACACACAGCAGATATCCCACCGCTCAACGGGGGAGCTATATTGTATATACATAGTACATCTATCTCATTACGCTGGTCGCCAGGGATCCGTTAGCGTTGCTGCGAGGATCACACAAACGGAGTCGATCCTGATTAGGCGCTCCTCTTGCCGCCAGCCGATCTCTCATCCCACGTCGCCTTTCTTCTTCGTTCTCTTTCTCCTCCCTCGCTATCATCGTGTCATCTACTATTATTGTTCCACCAGGTATGTGCTCTCATTGACGATTGCTGTGCTATCTGACCTCCTATCTCGATCTAGAGGCGCTGATTCCAGCGCCTGCCATTGTTTGATCATGTCGCCTCGATCGCAAGTGCGCCTCCACTAGTCATCAACAAGCGATATATATTATATAAACATCAAGCCTAATTATTCTTAACGACCGCCTACCATGGACGACGGTCCTCCTCCACCCCCTCCCCCTCACGGCGAGAAACCACAAACCACCCAGGGCGAATATCGCAAGACTTCCGACCTCCCTCCGGGAAATTATGACATCTTTATCATCCCCCCTCACTCCGCCGGCTCCGGATTCCTCTACCTTCCCTCCCTCCAGCCACAACGGAACAGCTTCATCGCAGGATCCGCCTGCACACTCTTTGCCGTCTTGCTTTGGTCCCTCATATCACCCCTTCTGAAAGCATGGTGCGCTGCCACTGTCGCCAGTGGCAATGGCCTGGCCATCGCCGTGCTGGCTATCGGAGTTGGGGTCGCCGGGTGGGCCGTGGGCGCCTCACAATCCGATTCTGGGGGAGGCCGACGACGGCCCAATTTTGGATTTAATACCGGCGGGGGTCCAGGCACGAGTGGACCCTCCGGCAATGGCGCCGGAGGTGAGTATGCGCGGGGACAGCAGCATGGGGCCCAAAGTCAGGGCCCGAATGGTCATCCTGGTGGACAAGGGCAAGGACAGCAGCAATATGGGGGCAACTTCAATTCGGGTCCGCCTCCGGGTGCAGGCCAGTATGGTGGGAACCATCAATACCAGAATACTGGTGGGCCCGGAAGTGGACCACCCCCGCAACCGCCGCCGCAGGCAGGCGGATCAAATAAGACAGGTTCGTCTGCCACCGGCTCTGAAAGCAAACCTCAAAGTGGAGCTGATTGGGAGAAGGCCCGTGAGGAGACCCGGCGCAAGGAGGAGCTGCGCCGCAAGATGGAGGAGTTTAAGCGGAAGCGGGAGGCCGAGCAGCGCGAGAAGCAGCAGAAGCGCGAGCGCGAGGCTATGGAGCGGGAGCTGCGTGAGCGCAGGGAGCAGCTCGAGAAGGAGATGGCTGCCGCCAAGGAGGCGGCCGCCCGCGAGGCTCGAGAACGGGCGGAGCGCGAAGCAGCTGAGGCCAAAGCCAAAGCGGAGCGAGAGGCCGCGGAAGCTCGAGCCAAGGCGGAACGAGAAGCAGCGGAAGCACGTGCCAAGGCGGAGCGTGAGGCTGCGGAGGCCAAGGCTAAAGCGGAGAAAGAGGCTCGAGAGGCCCGCGAGCGAGAAGCACGTCGGGCAAAGGAAGCCCGAGAACGAGAGGCGCGACGCGCCGCCGAAGCCAAGGCCCGTGCAGAGCGCGAAGCCGCAGAGGCCAAGGCTAAAGCAGAGCGTGAGGCTGCTGAGGCCAAGGCCAAGGCAGAGAAGGAGGAGGAGGAGCGTAAAGCTGCAGCTAAGAAGGAAGCTGATGCCAAGTTTGCGGCGCTCAAAGAGGCTGCCGCGAAGAAGTATGCCGAGAAGAAAGCCAAAGATGCGCAGGAGGCAGCGGCCAAAGAGGCTGCCAGCCAAAAGGCATCTAGCACATCCACTCCCCGCACACCATCACCCAAGAAACCTGCTTATCCCCGCACCGACACTGACAGCTCATACTCCAACTTTCGACCGACTGATCGTCCTCGCCGGCCGTACGGCGGTGCCACTTCGGGGTCATCAGTGTACTCGGACTCTTCATATGCGCCGTCACAGACGACAGCACGAACGACACCGCCGCCATCGAATCGTGGGGCCTATGAGACTAAAGACCCTGACAAGATTGTTATCAAGGGTGTGTTCGAGTTCAACAACAACTTTGTGCGCAGTCCCGTGGCGCAGCTCGTTTCAGGCCAGGGCATGGTCAGCGATGGACTGGTTCTGAGGATCACGACAGAGGGACTCTTTATCGACGACGATGTGCGCGGCGTCGGCCAGCGCGAATGGGATGTAAAGGCGTGGACGATGAACCTCGTCGAGGTATGGTGTCCGAAATTCGGGGCGCAGCGTCAACCCCCGAAGCCACCGCCGGGGCCATTCAATCGGCGGGGGAATGAACCGACCCCAGAGGAATCAGAAGCATTCCTGGGCAACCTGCTCAAGATGTGCAAGAACACGTGCCGACTATCGACCGGGGGAGGAGAGGATCAGCGCTCGCTGCATGTGTTGCGGGCGTCGGTGCGCGACCACGAGGGCAAACGGTATGTGTTTGTGTTGCAGGAGACGGAGGGGTGGAAGGTGGCGATTGGGCTGCAGCGGTTGCGACGGGGGACGTTGTCGCGGGCATTGGGGGTGATGGGGTTGGGAGTGAATGAGAGTCGGATGATATTATCAGGATTAGGATATGAGTGATGACCCTTGTATATACCAGTACACATAATGAGCTTTCACCAGTACAGCAGTATGCCAGTATACCAGTGTAATATAGTAAGTTAGCCCTAAGCCAGATATCCATCCAAACATGTATACACATACCATTTACACTCACTATAGATAAATAAATCAACCCAGACAAACAAAATAGAATCCACCATCACCAACCCCACAGTCAATAATCAAGGCATGGATGGAAATCAGGGTCATGACGTCGGAACCAAACAACACTCTCCCCGCGTAACCCCAACCTGACCCAACTGACATCAACCCGACAAAACCATCGCAACACCACCACCATTCCCATATTATAATAAATATCTACAGCAACTACAAACAACCGAACAGAACAATGGAATGATACCCGAGAAAGACAGAGAATGTCCCTCTGGACAATCAGCCTCGTCACACAGATCCTGTGTCTGGCGCTGGTAACGGGGTTTGTCGCGCTACGGGGGGTGGTAGCATGGAGGTTTAAGAAGGGGGTTGATGTCGAGGATGGTATACCTCCTACCCTTTATATAGATGATTATGTTGGCTAATGGAGTATAGGCTTTTGTTTTGTATCGTTGGTATACACTACACTACCCATATCCATACTGAGTATAGGAGGAGAGACTGATATAGTGAATGAAACCGGGATAGATATTCTTCGACGCATACTGCATATTAGTTCTTTTTTGTATGTCCCTATCCCTTCTCCCTACATACACACTGTATATATATATACTAACAAAGAAGATAAGACATCTTCAACAACGGCACCCACCCCCCCTCAACCCTCACCCCGTCACAAACAACCACCGTGTACAAGGTACAACAACCTATTCCCATATACACCCCCTACAATACATCCATCCACATCAACCATACCTCTCTTCCACCTCTTAACGCCACATTACATACAACCCTCCTAACCTCAAGAGATGAAAATAATAGTTATTTTATACCCTAACAATAATCTACGTCCCCATGGCCCTCCTAGCAAAACTCACCCTCCTCACCATCCTCGCCCGACTCTTCATCCTCCGCCGATCCCAAACCCTAACCGTATACCTCACCATCACCCTCACAACAATCTACTACATCACCATCCTCTTCATCAAGATCTTCATCTGCAACCCCGTTTCGACATTCTGGACGTCGCCCAACAACCCACACAACCCTAACTGTCTCTCCGAGGGGGCAGTATTTCTCGCTGATGCGATCATGAGCGTTATCACAGACCTGGCGATCCTACTCCTGCCCATCGGGTTGATGTTCCCGCTGCGATTAGGCGTGGTGAAGAAGGTGAAAGTGGGGGCTATGCTGGGGTGTGGCGGGTTGGCTGTGGGATTTAGTATTTATAGGGTTGTGCTGGTGGTGGGCGTGGGCGTGGGGGGGTTGGGGGATAGTCAGGTATACGCTAGAATACTTTTGTCGGGGTAAGCTTTCACTGAGGGTGGTTGATTGGGGGTTGGTTGTGGTTGTGTGCTTGCTAACTGGTTTGGGGGGTAGGAACGCGGAAGGAGGTTTCGGGCTCATTTGTAGCTGTATCCCCGCGCTGCATATCTTAGTCTCGAGGGTGAAGGCGAAGATGAGGAAGGGGTCAAGGTCAAGGTCTTCTGCTATTGCGTCTGGGGATGGGAGTGGAAGTGGAAGTGGTGGGAAGAAGAGGGATAGGGGTGTTTCGAGTAGTGGAGGCACGGCGGCGCCGATTGTTATTACCAGTTCGCCGGAGGATGTGCTTCATGATCCTGGGGGGTTGCTTGCTTCGTGTGATGATGATGGTGATAATAATGTGTATGATCAGGATGGAGGGGAGGGGAGGGGTGAGAAGAATGACAGCAGGGATAATAGGGAGGAAGGTTGGGTGTAAATACAGTGTTCACTACTTAAAGATTTACTCAGAAATTACTCTCAGTACAGCATTAGGATCATACATTCATCCTATCCCAACTCATCAGTCATCCCAGGTATATAACGCCTCTGGCATCCGCCAGCATACTATCAATCAATAATAATCAATAATCAATAAGACACTCCGTCCACAACGGATGAAGGAAAACCAAAGGAAAGAAGAAGAAGAAAAAAAAACAGTCTATCGCCCAGTCTGTCATGCGGGTGGGAATCAGAGGAAGCAAATCGAACAATCAACAGGAACAGCAGCAACTTTTTACATGCACGCTGTCTAAAAGGGAAATCCGCCGGGGAATCCTCCGCGCTGTCCTCCTGCGTGCGCAAAGCCGCCGCCGCCGCCGTTCATCATGTTGAACAGCACGCTGGGATCGATGTTGATATGGGTTCCTCCCATACCACCCATGCCTCCCATTCCTCCCATACCGCCCATTCCGCCCATGCCTCCCATGCCGCCGAAGCCGCCGTGCGAGAACATGTCAGCGGGGTCCATGAGGTCGTCACCGTTGTCGTAGGCAGCACGTTTCCTATGCTGGTTAGCAAATGCCAAACACCAAATTTAGCGAGGAACTTACTGAGGATCACTCAAAGTCTCGTACGCCTCACCAATCTCCTTGAACTTCTCGTCACCAGCATCACCGTCCCGGTTCTTGTCCGGGTGGTACTGGATCGCCATCTTGCGGTACGCCTTCTTGATCTCTTGTTCGCCCGCGTCCTTGGACACTCCGAGGATCTTGTAGTAATCCTTGCGCTGCGCCTTCTTCAGCTCAAACTCGGCCTTTCGGATCTCCTCTTGGATGCCCTTCTCGGTCGGGTTTGACTCTGCCACCGCCTTGTAGTCACGCACAGCTTCTTCCCAGTTGCCGGCACCGCCGTGCGCCTTGGCGCGCATCTTCTGCGCCTTGAGGTACCCGGGGTCCAGCCGCAGGGCCTCGTTGCAGTCTGCCACTGCGTTATCGTACTCCTTCAGGTTAATGTAGGCCTGCGCCCGGTTCTGCAGGATCTTGGCGTTCTGGTCCTTGTTCTTCGGGTCGACGGTCAGCGCCTCACCCCACAGGTCGATGGCGCGACGGTAGTCCCTGGCCTTGAAGGCTGTGTTACCCTCTTCCTTGGTGCGCACCAGCTTCTGCACAGTGCGCAGCAGCTTGATCGCCGCCTTCATATCCGGATCCAGACCCAGGCACATCTTCAGCAGCTTCAGCGCCTGGTCCGTGTCACCCATACCATAGAAGGCCCGGGCGCGGATCATCAGCGCATCAGGGTCCTGGCTGTTCACCCGGAGCATGCTAATAGCAATGTCCTGTGCCTTGCCGTACGAGTTGTCATTGCCCATCTTCAACTGGGCCTCTGCAGTCATCAGTGTCCACTTGCGGGGCTCCTTGACACCTTGTCCGAGGAGCTGACGGGCCTGGTCGAGGCAGAACAGCACCATCGAGACACCACGGTCCTGCGAGAGAGCCTCCTCCGCCTGGCTGACAAAGCGGAGCATCTTCTCTGCGGCCGCACGGTCAGTAGCGGAGGCCGGGGGCTCAATCCGAGACAGCACGTCAAGAGCCTCCGTCGGACGGCCCAAAGCGGTCAGGATACGGGCCAAGCGGTACATGATCTTAGTGTTGGTGGGGTCGAGCTCGCGGGCCCGTTCGCAGTCCTCCAGAGCAGCCAGGTATTGGTTGGCCGCCATGTATGCTGCAGCCCGGTTGGACAGGTAGACGGACGAGTTGGGGCTAATCTCGAGAGCTGTACCATCGTTACTAAACTGCCGCCAAAATCTGCCTGAAGTCAGGTATTAACCTACCCTTGTTGAATTCCTCAATGGCGCGGGCATAGTTGCCATCCTTGAAGAATTTGTTTCCAGCCAGCTTGAAGGAGTCGGCCTCAGCGGTGTTTCCATTGGACCGGTGAGGGGGCGGGGTGGGACTCTTCTCCGTGTGAGTACCATTCACACCGTTGGTGGCAGAAGGGGAACCGAGGCGGGGATCGTTGGTATCGACGTCCATCGAGCTTCGCATATCATCGCGAGCGGCAGCCATAGCGGAAAGACGACGTAGTTCGTCGGGATGAAGGTTGAGCGGGTGAAAGTTAGGGTCGTGCGAGTACCGATGATGAACGGCAGACAGCGACGACGCGGACCGGGGGACGGACGAGGGTTTCGACCGGACCGAGGCTGATTTGGAGGGAGTGGAGGTGGAACGACTGTGCGCCGGACGAGTAGGTTTTCGAGGAATGGAAGGACGTTGAGTCGGAGTAGGAAACGACTGCGGATGGTGAAGCGGCGGCGTAGGAGGAGGATGGGGGTGGCGAGAGGGAGCCGAATGAACGGTCTTTGCCCGGTGAGGAGGGGGCGGAGGTCGAGTCGGGAATGAGTCGTCGGTCTTGACTCTTGCGGATGGACGTGGGGGAGGAGGGGAACTCGCTGAATATGAAGAAGAAGAATAAGGAGGAGGGGGGAGAGGAGAGGAAGACGGAGGGGGAGAAGAAACAGGAATCGAGCGAGTGGGAGGAGTAGGAGGAACAGGAGCAGAAGCAGTCGTTGTCGGAGTAGATTTAGACTTGGAAGAAGAGGATTTGGAGGAAGAAGATTTGTGACGAGAGAAAAGATGCGGGAGCCCCATCGCCGCTGGGCTGACTGTGATTGGTGGCGCCGATCGAAGGGCAGCGAAGGCGGTGGAATTTGTTTCTCTGCTTTCTTCTTTCTTTCTCTCTCTCTCTCTCTCTGTGTCTCTCTCTTCAGATCCGCTGGTGTGTTATCCCTCACTTGACGCGGGTCTGCACCTGGTTAATTTATCAATTATTATTAGTCGTGTCGGTGGACAGTCAGTGTTAATCTATCACTGTTTCTGTCACTCTCTCTTTTTTTTTCTCTCTCTCTCTCTCGGTTCTGTTCGTAATCCCGATTTTTATCACTGCTCGTATCGGTCTTAATCCGTCTCAAGCACTCATCATGATCGGTCGTATCTGTTCAGTTGCAGCTTCGGAAAAGAATGCCAGCGCGGAGTAGTATCAATCAACTTTTAATGTCACTTCACTGCTCGCGGAATAAAACACAAGCAAAGCAAAGCACAGCACAGCACAGCAATTAATCACAAACACTCAAGTCAAAAGTCAACACTCAACAAACACAGATGAATGAAGTGATGTGAAAAAAAGTTCAACGGCGCTGGCCTCCATCTGTCACGCTGCTACTAATATTAAATAGTCTCCATCCAGACGGCCCTCCCAGTCGCTCGAAAATTCGGAGGCTGGGTCACCGACCATCACTGGCTAGCGTCTTGCCTTCGTCATGCGAGTTGCCAACAGCAACACTACGCGCTGCCAATGATTCCCCTCCATCCTACGCCTCTAGTCTGTCATGGCGGTCGCAGTTTGACAAGCTTTTTCTCTTTTTACTATGTGGCCTAGACTATCTTAACACTGCGGTTGGCTTATCGCTCCGTCCATCTCTCTCTACCCAAGCTGGGGCCACCCGCATGTTGGTGCGTCCAGTCCACGTTTACCCTAATTGCAGACGTGTAACATCGCTTTCCTTCTCGCTGCCTCTCTGTTCTTCTCCTGCTCTCCCGCCTTCCATCTGCATCGGTCCTGCCTCCCCACAGTGCTCCACTTTCTTAGGCACGGCTGCTATTCCCCTGTTACGAAGAACGAACTCCTCCCAGAAGGTGTCCCAGTAGCAACTCCGCCTCAGCTTCCTTGACGATCTTAGCGACTTCACTCTTCATGCGGATCTGCTCTTCCGTATACAGCTTGATCTGTGGTTCGATCAGCGCCCTATGGTAGTCCTTTGAAATCCGCTGTAGTCTATTATGGATAATCCGATCCACCTCAGCTTGCTGGCCGTCAAGTAGCTTCCCAAGCTCGTGCTTTGCACTCTCCGTGCTTCCTCAGAGGACATCGTTAGCGTGGTCGTCTGCTGTCTGTTGCATCAACGCCCTGATACGCTGTAAGCTTCCTCGTCCTGTCGTGATGAGCATGTTAGAATACTTCTCGACTAGCTGCGATAGAGTCTCACCTGTTTCGGAGGCACAGGCCTGGTAGGTTTCTTTCAGTCGCTCAGCGATCGCTTCGGCGAACGTTCGGTTGATACGCTTCTGTTCCTGCATGGTCCAGTTTTCAGCCTGTCGAAACTGCTCTCCCATTGTCTGACGGCACGCGACGAGCGTATCTTGCAGTTGGACTCGGATTTTTTCAGGAACACCCTGCTTGACGGAATCTATCACCTGTGTGTGGAATTGACTGACCACGGCTTCCAGATTTTCCTTTAAATGATGAAGGCAATGCGGGAGAAGTTCCGTGAAAGTCCTGTTGCGCGTTAGACTGATCCAGAGCATTCCTAGATAGCAAACTCACCTCTTCCAGGATGAAGCTATCTTATCAAGCATTGGTCGGGCTCTGCAAGCGATTAGGTCGGTTTGGACTCTGGTGCTTAATCTTTGACTTACAAATCTTGATTCCAATCCTGAATAGCTGTCAGCTGTGTTTATTGCACCTGTATCGAGGGACTTACTATCTTATGATATACTCCCCGACGGCGACAGATGGCCTTGTATGTATTCCATCGGAGTCCCCCGGAATTGCCTGGGGCATTCCAGCGAGAGACAGCTTCGGGGAATTGGACAACTGCATGTCGCGACGCTCGGTCTGTACCATTAGCGCTGCTAGGAATTGCCATCAGAAGACTTACTTAGTTTATTGAAGATGCTTACTTGGACAGTCTCCCTGGCGACACTGTCGAAATGGTTCATATGCGCCTCCGCAGCCTAAAAGGTCAGAACTGGATTAGGAAGGAGGAAGTGGACATACTTCTGTCAGTCCGCCAAACACACTTTCGAAGTCGGCTTCAATCTCTTTGATTTTCTGCTCTGAGGCGTCGCTTGTTGCCGTGCTCACCAAACACCACAGCTTCATCGACTGCAGGACCTGGTTCAGTTGGGTCAAGAACCTCCGAGACGATTCTTCTCTGGCCTTTTCGGTGAGCCTTACGCAATGGCGCTGTAGAAGTGGTATCTCAGTCTCCTCCAGTTCGGAGAAGCCACCAACGAGCTTTGCCATATCAGCCCGACCCCGGAGGCCTTGGTAGGCCCGGGTCGACACGCAAAACACAGGAAGGTTCCTTTCCAGCTCGTCGTAATCACAACCTGCGGCCTGGATTGGGTTTCGGTGTCATCTTCAAGTTCCTGGTCCAAACTCTGAACCTCCAAGGCAAAGTCGCGTTTGATCTGCTGTTTCGAAAACCTGTTCCTCGCCTCAATGCAAGATTTTATGACAGAGTGCTCCATTTTTTCCTTTCCGTCTTCTAGCTCTTTCAGCTCCTCCACTTTGCTGTCCATTTCCTCATTGATATGCTTTAGCTGAGACCGTAGATCCTTGCGCTGAACCTTGAGGTCCGAGAATCGGTTCTTGAGCTTCTCCACCATAGGAATCTCAGTGGTACCTGCCTCTTGAATGGCTGGCATCTCCAAGGGCTCGCTTCCGTGTGGCTTCTTGCGTTTGGGAGTGATCTCCAATACATCACAGCCGAATTCATCGCCAGTTAGTCGTTCTTCAAGTTCTTCAATCTCGGTCTCTATCCAATCCAGCCGCGAGAGTATTGTTTTCTTAGGCTTCTCGAAAGCGTTGATTTCGTTCTTCAGCCATTCAACCTTAGCTGGCAGCTGTTGAACTTCGTTGAACGCTGGCAAGTCGAGACCCAGAGAATGGATGACCTCGGTTGGAGCTAGGTCGTCGGTTTTAGTACAAATAAAGGTCATGTCATTAAATGCGCAATCCATTTGCATTTGCAGCTTGTAGTTCTTTCCGAGCAGGTCACGCGCGACTTTATCATCGACAGCCCGGTTGATGGGAGCTACAATCCAATGAGCCGAACAGCGTCTCATGTAATCTTCGGCGACGGCAACTCGCGCGGAATTGGAGTCAAAGATGCCAGGAAGGTCCACCAAAACCGCACCAGTTGCCAAGGCTGGGGCTTTGGTGTATATCCGCACAACACGCACAAGAGGCCAAAGGCCAATGCCCTGGTTGGCTGTGTCAGTGTCGCTCGCAGAGTCTGGGTGTTCATCGGCATCTTGTTTCTTAGCAGACTTCTTGGGTCGGCCTCGTTTTCCCTTGCTGTCAATATAGGATTTCAATTTTGGTAGAGAACGCTTTAGGGTCGTCTCCCTCAAAGCCCATAGTAGTCCCCAGGAGATCAGTGACTCTCTCGCTCGCCATCAAGTTGGCAACGGATGCGTTGAAAATGTCTTTGGGTGTCAGCATCGGGTAGACGGCCTTGATCTTGTCAAGGGCCACCGCTGCATCGGAATTTTTGGGGATTGCACCTCGAGTCACTTCATCTTGGTGGTCAAGGAGCTCTTCAAACAAGACTTCCAATTCGCGTTCCCACTCATGTCGCTCGATAAATTCGACTTCTGCTCTGTACTTCGTGGCTCCTTGGTTGTAGGAGATCTCCGTTGCAACGGCAGTAGAAGCACGCATGCAGTCTGTAGACAAGACATTCTTCTCATCTAGGATCGCGTTGATGAGTGACGACTTTCCTGCTCCGGTGCTTCCAACTAGTCCGATGATCACCTTCTCCGTACAGGCATATCTTTGGGTCCGCTCAATCTCAGCTTTCCAGTCTGCCTCATTGCCGAAGGCATCCGATCCTGAGAAAATGGCATATAGCTTCTTCAGAATCTCAACTCCTTTACCCACAGCGTTCTCCAAGGCGACAATTTCTTCGTTCGCGGGAATCTTGATATCACACTCTAGCGGGGACTCCTCGACCGAGTCTGCCGTGGCGACATCCTCGTCTGGAAAATCAGCTCTCGGCTCTGGTCTCGGTTCTGGTTCTGGTTCGTCTTGATCAACAAACATGGACTCAGGAACGACATCACGATCATCAACCTCTTCCTTAACCACGTTGTCCTGTGGAACATGCGATTCGCCGTCGTAATTATCAACCAAAGCTTTGAAATCAGCAACTGCACCTCGTCAGTCAACTCTCAAACCAGACCAGAATAAAGCACACTCACAATCAACGCTAGAGATCATCTCAGCCCTTCCCTGATCGACCCCCGCAAAATAACTTTCATACCAGCATTTCAAAGAACCTTCATAGTCCGCGTATATCCAATCCCAACCTTTCGTTTCAACATACTTGACACGATCTACGTACAGCTCCCGCATCCTAGGGGTGATACAAGTCCAGATGGCCTTGAAGTCAAGACAAGCAGGTCCTTTCACGTATAATTAGCTTCCATACCCAATAACAAGTACAGTAATCAAGCGGGAGGTGAAAGGAAACACTTACTATCCACCTGACCCTCCCAGCACCGTGCATGCTTTGCAGTCTGCTCAGCCACGAAATGCAACTCAGCGAATTGTAGAACGTCTATCTCCGAATTCTGACTGCTCTGGGGTTCTTCCCTAGGAGCCCGGGACACCGACCTCGGTCTCGAGACGAGATCGCGTTGCTCCATTGTCAACCCAGTCCAGTGCCCTCACGACGAAACATCAATGAAGTACTGCAACACAGCATACAAGAAGCAGCAGAGAATGAAGACGGCGATTACTATCAAGGAAATGTAGAAGATCCAGTAGATGAGGAGAACGAGGGAGCGGAACGCGAAGGTCAAGATAGTAAACATGGTTAGTTGAGGGGGTGACGCGGAGCTGTTGGAGTGAATTGAGCGTGTCTTGCGAGCATGTTTTGTTTGTTGATCCATGGTCATTCACTGCGTCTCTTGGTAGAGTTGTGCTTGTTTTCGTCTTGGGGTTGGCCATGGTGATTGGGTATGGGGGGTAAGGAAGGGGAGATGAGGTGGTGGTGGTTATGGGGATTGGAAGGTGTGGGATTATAGTGGTATGGTTTGGTTTGTATTGTATCACATGATGGGGATGGCTGAGTGACTGAAGAGAGTGTGAGAACGGGGTGAGATGAAATGAGATGGTAAGTACGAGGTAAGAAGTGAGAAGAGAGGGAAAGGAGTAAATGATCTATGACAGATTGGGTATCTCGAACGAAGCAGAACAACTACCTAGTAAGCAGATAGAGGAGACCGAAATGAGATAATGTACAAGATGAAAGGCATCAAAAATAGACAGTCTAATAGTAATACACATGCACCCCCTAAAACACCCGGCTATGCTTGATAATTGGCGACGCCACTAAACTAGAACAAGGATTATGTTAAATTAGGATAGCCGGCCAGCAGCTGATAATATCCGTTTCCAATCCATCTCTACAACTCCGCCTCTTTCCTAACACACTAAACGGGCACCCTCACCTCGACACAGCCCGGTTCGCCCTCCTCCTCGCAACCGCCGTCCACCGAGATCCGCTCGAGCCTTCGTCTTCGTCGTCATCCGTAGGTAGTGGAGGCAAGGGCCGATCAAGGATGTGCCGCCCATATGGCGGGGGTACATCCCTCCTCTGTGCTAAAGCAGCAAGATGGACTTGGCCATGAAACGAAGAAGGGCGGTAAGGCGTATAGTGAGCATCGGGGGTGGGTCTGGTGGTTACGGTGTAGTCGGGGCTGAGGTGTGGTGAGGGGCATGAGGAAGGTTTCAAGAACCACAGCTTCTCGTGCTCGAGCCAGACGAGACGGTTACCTTCGGTGGTAATGGTGGTGGTCACGGCCTGTGTGGTGACTGTGGTTGTGGTGGTCGTGCTCAGCAAAGGGCTGGGCGATTGGTGAGGGGTAAGGTCTGAAACACTTCGAGTTCGGGAGCTCCACGGGTGAAGGGAGAAGGAGGACGAAGGAGGGGGAGGAGGTAGGTTTAGTGTTGGTTGTGGCCTTGATTGTTGTTGGTACTCATGCTCGTCGGCTGTGACCGGGGGCTGTGGACTGTGGCAGCGTTGGTAGAAACTGAGATTGTCTTCCGGCTCATGGTGGTGGTGGTGGAACAGCGCAAATGAGTACTCTGATTCAGACACGGGACTGAAGATCGCGTCCGTCGAGCTTGGTCGTGGAGGGAGGTCGTGAGGTGTTAATGGGCTGATCGGGCTAACTGGGGTGGACGTGTCCAGACGAATACTGGGAACATTTGCTCGTCGCGGCGAGACGGTGAACCGAGTGTCGGCGATAGGCGGGCCTTCTAAGGATGAAAGATCCATTGTGAAGATGTGAAAGACGGTATAAAGAGAAGGTAGAAAAAAAGTGGATGTAGGCCAAGCAATTGTGGGCAAATGTCACAGAAAGATCATTTGCACGCGAGCTATGTACCGATGAAGGAATTAAAGTCGGTGTGGAAAAGTATGATCGTCAAGAATCGAGTGAAAATATACTTGGGGGGTCCAAAAGGGAAGAGCACAGTTCATATATCAGACAGTTGTTGATACTTGAGGCAGTGCTGGAACAATGTCCCTTGTGGGAAAAAGGGTGGTGTTGTCTTCTGTCTGCACGGCTATGGCCAATTTCTTTGACGGGCACAGCAACAAAGACACAATAATACGAGCCAACAATACCCATGACAGTCAGGAAATCGCCTTGCGCCTCACAGTGGATTCCTCCTCGTAGTTCGTTCCAACCTCCTAATAGTGGACTGCAGCTGCGGAAAGGGCGCAAGCCCTGTTGGCAAAGCTTTCGGCTTGTCCGGCTGATGTTCGCCTTGGTTCAGAAGCGAACAAGGAAACCAATCCGTCGGCTCACGTTAAACCCCGCCGTAGAAGGATCTCCCGGTGCTCGATAGTTTCTTTTTTGCCCTTCGGGATGGGCCCGGAACTGGGGCAGAAGAAGGATTTTGGGGTCCGAGACTGGATGTGCTGTCATCGTAACCATGAAGCTGTAGTTTCATCGTGGAGGCGATCATAAGCGCAGATAAAAGCCCCTATGCATTTAGACGCCTTCTGGAGAGATTCCATGGGTCTGAGCGATATAGCATGTCGTCAAGTGGAGGCTGCGCGATAATGGGGGCATTTGGTTCGTTGGTTGAAGGATTCCGAATGAGGTTGGAAAATCAACACTGCCACATCCTTTGTCGTCCGAGCTTTGGATGAGTCCAATTCAGAGGGGAAAAGTATTTTGCGTAGCACTGGATGTTGCTTCAATCCCTAATCTATATTGCATGGCATTATTCATCGCGATGGCCATGTGGTAGCCTTAGTCGAGTCAAACACAGCGAGGATGTTGCCGCTGTCAACCAAGTAAACAGCACGTGTTGTTTGTTGGTGACCCCGGGGCTAAAGGAGAATAGCGTCGAACCCGACCTCCAGATCACGGATCTCCCAAACCCCCAAACACAGCCACACACACACACGATCGTGAAATACTTACTTACTACACATTGACAGCGTCTACAAATCGACGATCGTCAATCCCTTCCAGAATCGCCCGGCAAAACCCCCCTAAAGAAGTAATCAATATGGCACAAATAGGGCTGAGGGCGACATTCGGATTTTAAGCCAGAGAATATCTGAAACAGCCACCCAATCAATCGCCCGCACTGGCGAGACCAATGTGATACACACCAGTGGGCGCAGACCAGCAACGAGACGAACCGCAAAATTCGGATCGCAGCCGGTCGCCGATAAATGAAAGAGATAGGAATAAAAAATAAATTCGAGATCTTGAAACATTTACGCTGTGTAGCCCCCAAGATCGAGCGGCCTCCCCGGATTCAGCCCTCCATTCAGCCTCCTGCTTAGTACTTGTTTGCTGAGTTCCTTCCAACTTGCCCCATGTCATCACGGCAATTACTTAGGTGATGGGTAGATCCATTCATTGAGATCCGGGCCGGCCCCTGTTGTCGGACATGTCCGATCGTTTGGCAGTTCTACAGCAGGTGTATGGCGTGGTGATCTGGACCGGATGGAAATGATAGCTCTAGCACGGCATTGATTTAAATCTATAAACTGCTTCGAATTGGGTATGTGAAAGCTTCATGGGTTACATTAATCGTATCCAGCCACCAATTGCTTCACAAGAGAACTCCGAAGCAATCCGGGAAGCGTAAATATCTAGAAGGAAATTTCGAATAAAAGTGGTATAAGAGAGGATATAAAAAGCAACGAATCGGATTTCTCTCCCAAAAGCAAAACCGCAACTAAGTATGGACCAATCCCCGACACTCTTCACCAATTCACATGCGCCCAAGATCCCCGCCTATAGCGGCAACCGGACTCACGAGTGACCCGGGGCTACTATAAACAAGAAGGGGAATCTAAGCCAAGAAGAAAGCGGCGGCGGCGGCAGCACCAGCGAAAGCGAAGCCGTTGCCGTTGACGGAGCTGGCGGCACCGGTGTAGAGAGCAGAAGAGGGAGAGGGGCTGTGCGTATCGTTAGTATGATTGGTTACTTTTGAGAAAGGGTGTCAGGATACTCACGTAGCACTGCCGCTAGGGTAGCCAGAGCCGTAGGCACCAGCACCGCTAGGGATGACAGGGGAGGAAGACTTGGCGGGCTTGCCGCTGGGGTAGCCAGAGCCGTAGGCACCGGCACCGGAGCCACCACCGATGGTGCTAGTGGACATGATGACGGTGGGGACGCAGGTGGTCACGGGGATAACGGTGACCTGGGGAGCAGCAGTGGTGCCAGCGCCACCACCGACGGCAGCAGCACCGGAGGGAACAGCGCTGGGGGCAGCACCAGAGGGAGCAGCACCGGAGGGAACAACACCAGCACCAGCACCACCAGCAGGGGAGCTGCCGGCAGCGGGGGTGGCGGAGGGAGCCTCAGGGACAGCGCTGGTGACACCAACGGGGGAGACACCCTCAGCACCGCCAGTGGTGGCAGCAGCGACGGCCTCGGGGGTGGAGGTGGCGTGCAGGGTACCGGGGCAGTTGGTGACGGTGGGAGCGCAGGAGACGACGGTCACGTCCTCAGTGGAGTAGACAGTCTCGACATCCTGGGGGATGGCAGCAACAAGGCTGGCGAAGAGAGCGACGGTGGCAGCAGAGAAACGCATCTTGAATTGTTGTGGTTGGTAAAAAATAGAACCGTCAAGGTCGATAAATTTGATTTTTATGTGTGGGTTGTTTTGATATGTGAAACACAGGGAGAGCTGCGTTTAGATAAAGAGAGTGTGGCTAGTTGGGGTTTTGCGTTGGGGTTTGGTTTAAAAGAGTGGCTGACCGAAGTCAATGGGATGCTTCAAGCAGGCAAAGAAGTCTGGTCTTGAAAGAGAAAGAACAGAGAGAACCAGGAACGAGCTGAGAGGGAGAGGGGGGAACCGGGGGGCCTTTGTATGAGCCGGGAGATTAACCTGGAGATCGTCTCAGGGACGAAAAGGGGAGAGCGCAACTGCACGCGGGTGGAGTTGATGGCCCCCGAGTCAATCAGAGCGCCGATGCGGTGTGAGAGAGTGAGAGGGTGAGGAGCAACCTTTCCATAGGCAAGTTTGGGGCAATCCCGCGAATTGGCCCCCCTCTCACTTTCCTCTCTCTTCTTTTAGTTCTTTGGGCTCCATTTTTCGTTTCGCGCCTCGTGGGTTCTGCGCCCGTCTCACCCACGTCTCTTGGTTGGTCCAACCAGCCCCTTCGCCTGTCTGACTAGACCAACTAGTGCCGCCAAGTGACTTTCGTCCCTGGCCCTGAATTACTGTCCATGCTGTCCAAGCTGTCCATGCGTTGCGAGACAAGTGCTGTTGATCGGTCGCTCCATTGCTCTTTTCGACCGGAAGAACACTTCGACTAACTCTTCGGCTCAGGGGAGGGGGGTGGAATTAATGGGGTCAGTAGATAGATACTTAGTTGGGTCATCAATGGTTCCCCTACTGGATTTTTAGGTTCGAACTTTTTTGGATTTCAAGCAATAGTAGATAGCAATTATTTACTTTGATGGACCGCGCGGGATTCTGTACCTGCATCGAGTTCAGGCACATCGTCCCGTCACTACTACTAGCAGTACTAAGTCCGGAGTACATCACCACTATGAGTAGTTTACTTCCTTACTAGTAAATATTCTCGGTCTAACAGGCAGTAACATTTAACATCCCAACGGCAAGTGAAAGCGGGAAAGGATGGGCTCAGTTTACTGGTAAACTTTTCTCAATCACTTGTAAATAAACCTTCCAAAAAATTAGGATGTCATCATCATCCACCCTCCCGATAATCAAAAGGAAATAAGTTCAGGGGGCAGAAACCTCGCTTTACTGAGCCACAGGACGTTGAATGCCAACTTAGACTTTGTTTCATGTTTCTCCCTACTGTCCAATCAGGGTTGGGAAAGGTGGAGCCTGCAGGCTGTTCCTGATGCCATTGGCCACTCATCGCTCTGGCCACCATCCCGCTGTGGCTCTCTCTTCCCCGCTTTTGGCCCAATGGCTGGTTGGCTGCTGGACCCACTTATGCCCCCTGTCTCTCTCTTTTTTCCACCTGAAAACTACTACTAACTAATCTCGTCCTCGATACGTACCATTTTTATCTGGAGGTTTCATTAGTAGGGTCGCTTCGGATAAGTGCGCATGGGTTGGTTGTTATTACTATCGTGAACTGTTTGGGTGACAGGTGCAAGAGTCCCACAAAAATATGATTCCATAAGATAAGGGCGTCAAAATTATATTAAAAATAAAAACAAAAACAAGAGAATAAAAATAAAGAAACAGCAAAGAAAGAAAAGAGAAAAGAAAAAAAAAACGTGTCGGGTTTAACCGTCTCCCATTGTCATTGTCAGAAGCATTCGTCAGCGGAAGCAATCTCTCCCGTCGTTTGCGTGGATTGCAGCCGATCTACTACTGTAAGGTACAAAGGCAGTTGATAGATACTAGTACATTAGCAAAGTGGTGTTGTCACCCCACGTATGACGCCTACCACATCTTCCGATGTAGTAGTTATACCGGCTATTTTTGATGCGAACGCGCTGTTTCTATCCCGAGCAGAACATACCCTACAAGGCAGGCAAGTCAGCACACACACTCTCTCTCTCTCTCTTCTTCTAAATCAGGAAGTGAATAATTCTCGGCGCTTTTTGGCATCCCTGTCAGCATCGGTCTAGAAGCTCATCCGACAGGTAAAAGACTTCTTCCATACAGCTCCGGCCCCGTTTCTATTGGTATGGGGGGGCTTCATTTGCTGAGAGCCAGGCCTGGCTCGGCGCCACGGTCGCATTCATTAATTGCTTAATCAAAGCTTAGTGCGTAGTGACTAGGCTGCTCTCTGACTAGTCTGGATGTCGGACATTGTATGAGCTAGTAGTCTAGCTATCATATTAGTTAGCCATGCTAACTAGGTAGGATAATAATATATGGCTCGAAATAAGTTGATGATATTATTATCGCACACTCATTCCGAACCATATGTCTGCTGGGTGTGCGTCAACTTTTGACGCAGTCTTCACGAGTCAGAACCGTGTTCCTTGTAGTTAGCTAATGGCGCAATAGCAAGCGATGATCTGATTGGAAGAGCCAGGGGGAAAGGGAGAGTGCGAGCGAGAGAGACGGATTGTGTGTGTGCGCAAGACTGCATACAGTACGTAGGTAGCTTAAGCGCCGAGAAAAGACGGCGGTTGACAATCATGTAGCAATCAGGAAAGTGACCTACATCGGATGGATCTTCAAAGTCGAAATCTATGAATCAAATGCCGTGGCATGAATAATAGGGCCAATTGCCAAGTCTTGAATTATTGCCCAGTCTGTTTAGTCTACCATCTGAGTGATGAGCTGTAAGTGTGTATAACAAACACAAAGGCTAAAAATCTGCGTCTGCACATCATGACTATTATCAGCAATGAAACTATTGAAACCCTTTTCTTTCTATTAAAAGCTCAGACTTTGTGCTGCCATTGCAAATATTTGGTTCATACTACTACGTACTTAGTTACTTACTTGAAGGGACTAAGTAGTTTACAGTAGGTCTCCGGATTTCTTCCCACGGTACTCCGTAGTTTAGTCCAGTCCCGTTGAGAAACGGAGATTTTCTGGTTTCTTTTTTTAGGGCGCGCGCTCTCGTGACGAACTGCGAAAAAGGGGGATCTGTCAGGGTTTTATGCCCAGTCTTTTAGGGACGACAGGCTTTCCCTGTTTGGCTAATCAATAGTCGCAGTGTCTAGTCGTAGTTTATCTCTATATATGGAGTAGTATCTGAGGATATACTATCTTCCGTCTTCGTTCTTTGTTAGGTGAACCGCTATAGTAGGGGAGACTATAACTACAAAGTAGAGAGGAGTTAGCAAGCAAGAGGATCTTACTTACGTTAGTAATCATGTGTTAGTAACTAGAACCCAACTCTTTAGTAAATAAATACATAAATCCCGAGGAAAACATCGAACCACATGCCATCATCATAATTATTGCAAGTGAGCCGACGCTGCTGCTGCTGATGATGTGTGCAAGAATTGAGTTTTGATTGCTCCACCGATCAACAGGGGAGAGGCGGGCTGGCAGTCGGCGTGAAATTCTACTAGACTACCTTACCAAAGGGGAGATGCGGACAGCGGACTACATCCTTTACGGTTTACCCCAGTTTTAGGGGCTCCTTGCGATGGATCCATGGAGTGTTGCGTACGTCCAAAAGGCAGGCATTTCCCCCATCCCCTCTCTTAACTCTAGATTGTGTGTGCATCTGTTTGTTATTTTCTCAAATTTGTGGACGAGGGGTACCTTTCACTGTACTACATCGTCTTATCCCGTGTATTGATCTATCCAGTGGATGGCCCCTATATTGGCATCGGTGCGGCAAATAAGCGACGCCAGCTGGGGAGGTGTTGGGGTTGTTGGAAGGATGATGATGATGATGATGGTATGTATGGGCCGTCTTGGACGGCTGATAGCTAACTACTAACTACTTCTACGGGAGGGCAAATTGCCAATGTGCTTGGCTATTTGCCCTTGTTTTGTTCTTTCCTGGGTCGTCGCGTCTACGAGATCGCCATATCGGCCTCTAAGAAACAAAAAAGAGCAAGGAAAGGGATTGAATGAACTGCATGAAGTCAACAACAGGCTTGCGACTAAATCTTGTGATATGTGACGAGAACGCACAGATGGTGACGGAACCCTGCATATACAAAGTAGACTACTCCGTACTTTGGGCAAATGCCGGCGTCAAAGCGACAATTTGGCTGTTTGTTACACCCATGACCTACTGCCCTCTACTCCACAGTAATCATCAACAGTAAGCATCCTTGGGGGGGGGCTAAACCACCACTGATCCAGCAAAACGGCTGGATGATCGGGTGGGGGAGGGCTTATCCAAGCGAGGATCGTCATGCCGCGCGTCTACGGGAAGATTTTCCAGGTACGCACAATCAACACTTGGTCAGCAGGGCAGGACCCTGCACCAAACTTCCAAGAAGTGTTGTTCATTCTATGGAGCTACTAGCACTAGTTACTTGGTTGACATGGTCCGGGTGGATAGATGATGGGTAGATAGATAGTCGTTCCCTACGATGAACATTGCTGAACCCCCCGTGAACGTCATTGGGTTGACCCGAGCGTTTCGCTTAGATGTCACGACGAACCGTTAGGGGCAGGGCTTGCGAGGATTGATTGATTGATTGATTGATTGATGATGATGACGATGATTAAGAGGATGTGTTTCTTTCTTTAGTGGTCCCTTTAGATTGGGTGTCATCTTTATTATTGGCCTGTCAGTCGGGGGCGCAGTGTTGCCATTTGGCCCCGTTGCTATGGCGGTGCAAAGGCTTGGGGAGGAGGAGGGATTGCTATTTTAAACCGGAGTGGGTCTGGATCGATTTGTGGCTGCGGAAATCGTCCAAGTTGGCGGGCATCGGGATCGAGGAGAGACGGTAGGGAGATTCGTCAGAGATGGACCGGATGATGTCAGTTGTCCCTAACCAGTAGCTATCTATCCATATAGGGGGGAGTGGGAAAGAAGTGTCCGGTTCGGTGTCTGTGAGAGTGAGGGATTTGACAAGGCTGAGAATGGCACGTGTCAATCGGTATCGGTAGCTGACGCGTTGATGCACGGTAACTAGTAGTAGTTGCTTGGTAGTGATGATGAGGGATCTACCGTTGAGAATCAGACTGTGATAGATTAATATTACGGTGCATGTATAGCCGTGCTATGCACCAGAGTGCTACTAGTATGTCCGATGTCAATGCGATTGTCTGATCATATCGGGCCCGTGTTACTATGATCGGACAGCATCGAGGACCATAATCTAATGTGTGAGTGTTGTGTATATTCTTAGAACTGCGTAACGGCTGCCGAGATGAATTTCTGCTGAACAAGCACCGTCGGGGCATAAGAGGGTGGAGCCCCGGAGCAAGATGCCGGCGCAGATTGGATGGAGCAGCCATCAATATCGATAGTGGCACCGAATATCAGAGACACTCAACCGGCGGATGATGTAAAACATCCGCAACGCTACTAAGTCGTTTTGGGTGAATTGTCCTTCGACATTATCCGGTTGAGATGTTGGACCCTGACACACTAGATTTTATTTTTATTTTTTCGTTCTTGAAGGACAGCAGCTCCCGTCGACATCATCAAGAAAGTCTGTCGGGGTGACGGGTTCGTGGAATGGAAACTTTGGGGAAACATGGTTCAAGTCAGGCGGAGTCGATCTTTAAGTTCAGAGATTTTTTTGATGTAGGATGCCTGACTGGCCAGGCCAGATGATTCAGGCACCCGAGCAGATTCCCCCCTTCCACTTCAACCCTCAACTTGATACAAAACAATATCGAATGCTACTAGTATATTAAATTGACAAGTATTAGAATAGATTCGAAACAATCACAGCTCTGCTACCCACAGACATCAAAGCTTAGACATAGGAATGAACTGGAGCTCTGTAGCTGTCAAGAATAGTAGCATTGGATTCCCAAAATATCTCTCATCGCAAGCACTTCTCGTTTTTAGGCGCCATTTTGAAACAGGCCGGTTCCACCAGGCCGGCGACCCTCCAGCGCCTCCATTCGATCCCTCGCCGGTCGGGAGTGCGGAGCATTGAAATTAGTACTGATGACAGGAATGATGGCTATTGAACTATTTAACTATTTAACCAATGCTGCAGTGACTTTCTTGTCCTGACTAGTTTATAAATTAGTCTAACTCCTCACAGGCTCACTCACTAAACAACCAACGACAGTTCCAAGTCAAGTGTCAAGTGGGAAAAGAAAGAAGGAACTTGAGTGGTCACCCTACGAGCGGTGGAGTCCAGCCGCCAACTGACAAAATCGACACAAAACTCGGCCCCAGTTTCAAAAGCAAGAATCGCTGGCCTCGCCGAGTCACATCTTCTCCTCTTTCTTCCTTCCCTTCCTTCCTTCTTGCTTCCTCTCCTCTCTCTCCTCCTTCTTCCCTATATATCTACTATCTACTATCTACTTACCTTGTCTTCCATTCTTATTTTATCATCATCATCGCTGGGGATCAAACATTCGCTTAGTGCTTTGATTCATCGTTTTTTTTTTTATTGTATTCTTGTCTTTCTTCTATTTCTCTCTTCATTCTCTTCTCCTCTTCTCATTCCCCCCTCTCCGATCAGCCAACCCCTCTTGTCAGCCAACCGCCGCTTCGTCCAGCCAATTAACCCCACGGCCCTCTTTGTTCCGACCACCTCGTCCAACTCCTCCTCTTCCTCCTCCTCCTCTTACTTATCACACCTTCTCCTCTTTTTCCTCTTCCTCTTTCTCTTTCACTTAATCTCTTTCCCCAGTTTCCCCCCGTCCCTCTTTCAAAGTGTCCCACTCAAACACCGCCGATCTGGCTACCTTGGCTGACCCCAACGAGTTGTTTTTGCCTGGTGAGAGGCAAAACAATCTCGCAATGTCATCCTCGCCGGTTCCTCTCCTCAAGCCGCCCGTACCTGGCAACCGCGGCAACAACAGTGGTTCCCGACCTCCCAAACTCACCTTGGGAATTCCTCCATCTCCAAATGTTCGTCCGGTCACGGGAACCGGCGTTCCTGTCGCTACCGCCGCCGCCGCCGCTCCCGCTCCCGCGCCTGCTGCTCCAGCAGAGGTCCCTCAGCTGCAGCGCCCAGCAGCTCGCCCAGCGCCTCCCCAGCTACGCCTGAAAACCCCCATGGGCAGCAGTCAGAATGTGCAACAAGTAAAGAGTCGACCCGCTCCCCCACCGTTGGCGACCACCGGCTTGAACGAACCGAACGGACACTCGAGATCGGGTAGCTTCACGTACCTGGACGGGAAGGCCAGTGGGCCCGCCTCCGCTTCCTCCTCCAACTATTCAGCCCTATCGTTCGCCATGGGCCTTCGCCAGCCTCACGGCAGCACTCCGGATCCGTCGTCAGCGATTTCTGTCTATTCCGACCGGGAGAGTGGGGTACAGATGGAGCGCGATAGCAGTGTGAACAGCCTAATTCCGGATCTGGACAAGATGAGTCTGGAAAAGGGCAGGCCCCTCGATGTGGATGATTTGGACGATGAGGCTTGGCTTGCAGCGAGTGAACAGAAGAAGATCGTGGAATTGGGTAGCTTGGGTGAGGGCGCAGGAGGTGCTGTCACTCGATGCAAGCTCAAGGAGGGCAAGACGGTGTTTGCGTTGAAGGTGGGTTTCTTTCATTTCGCATTGTCTGGTGGTTGGGATGCTAATACTCTCTCTCTAGATTATCACTACGGACCCCAACCCCGATGTGAAGAAGCAGATCGTTCGAGAACTCAACTTCAACAAAGATTGTGCCTCAGAGCACATCTGTCGCTACTACGGTGCTTTCATGGACAAGTCAACGGGGACCATTTCCATTGCAATGGAATTCTGCGAAGGTGGCAGCTTGGACAGTATCTACAAGGAGGTCAAGAAGCTTGGTGGACGGACGGGAGAGAAAGTGCTAGGCAAGGTTGCCGAGGGCGTCTTGAACGGGTTGACCTACCTTCATAGCAGAAAGATCATTCACCGAGGTCAGTCGAGTTCCAGATCCGCAGTTTCTCATCATTCAGCTAACACGTGTTTCAGATATCAAACCATCGAATATTCTTCTTTGCCGAAATGGTCAGGTCAAGCTTTGTGACTTTGGTGTCAGTGGAGAGTTTGGCACCAAGGGAGACGCCAATACCTTTATCGGCACATCGTACTACATGGCCCCTGAACGCATCACTGGCCAATCATACACCATCACCTCCGACGTGTGGTCACTCGGTGTGACCTTGCTCGAAGTCGCCCAGCATCGCTTCCCCTTCCCTGCCGACGGCACCGAAATGCAGCCACGCGCCGGTTTGATCGATCTACTGACCTACATTGTCCGCCAACCGATTCCCAAGTTGAAGGATGAGCCGGACAACGGTATTCGATGGTCCGAGAATTTCAAATACTTCATCGAATGCTGGTACGTTGAAAAAAAAAATATACTGGTGTATGAATTATACTAACTTTATCGTCCAGTTTGGAGAAAGAACCCCCGCGACGAGCGACTCCCTGGCGGATGCTCGAACATCCTTGGATGCTGGACATGAAAAATAAAAAGGTCAACATGGCCAACTTCGTAAGGCAAGTCTGGGATTGGAAAGACTAGATTGCCTGCCTGCAGCAACTGGATCTCGGCAATCATTCATGCACCTTCCGGACGGAATGCTCCACCTCTAATACGATCGCACATAACGGTCTCTCCTTTGATGCTTACAAGTGGCTGGCCCTTGGTTGACCCGGATGTCAAAAGCATACGAATTGTGATCATGACGACACTCATTTTCTTCGCGGCACTGTCTATCCTTTATTGGAATCATGGAGTTGGGAATGTTTTCTTCATTATCATCACCCGACATGATCACGCCTTCCTTTAATTTGCCTCCCCGCTGGTTCAGCATTTGTCCCGTCCTGTGCATTGCGTCCGATTGTCATCTCGGTTCTTTATTTCTACCCAAAACCGTTGTCATTTCATCCAGCAACCTGAGGTTGTTTCTGTTCAAAACCATCGCCAGCGGTGCTGACGCTTGTTCCTCTTTTCCGGTTGAGACGGGGAGAGATTGGTATCCTTGGTTTCTATCTATCATCTATCCTGTCGAGTTTGTTCCATATATCATACTACATACATTATCCTTTTACCATCCTCATCCATTGATCTGGTTTATCATCATTTCCGGCTTTCATTCTCCGATTGTACGCATGCAGATACATACATACAGCCACACGGAAGACATATCCATTTACAGTCTGATTAGCCTGTTCTTTCTGCTTGTGAGCGTGCGTTGTGACAAGGCAGGGTCCGCATATTGTGTATAGTGATTGGCACCGGAATAGCGATACAGGAATATCAAGACTGATTTCATTAGAAAAGTTGTCCTCTATAGATATGAAGTATAGGGTACAGTGGATCTACTACTCACTCAATCCCTCTTCTCCTAACACATGATATCATAGTAAACGAACTACTAGAAAATTTGCGTAGCCAAAAACCCTAGCTAGTCCGAAAAGGAAAAAAAAAGAAAAAAAAAAAATCCAAGAACTGATTATGACTTGTAGTTATCCTCTCATTCATTAATACGCTAGATTATGCAAGCAACCTTCCACTCGTTCACTAAACCCACTAACCCACTCATTCATGCAAAGCTATGGAAATATGACGATATATGTATAGAGAAGTAGAAAAGAGCAATGTTGTATGATTTCACGCTCGAAAATAACAGACGAATAAAATAAGATAGCTTCTAGCTTTCTTTCTGTGTTGGATGGGACATTCCATTTCACGGACTTCAAACAATCGTGTCGTACTTCGTAATCTGACCTTGAACTAAGTGGGTTTCTCAAGGGAGTGGTGGTGGTTGTAAATAAATCAACGATTGACAGGCTGAGCACCCAACACCCAGCCAATACCACTGACTAGTCCATCAGTGACCATGTTACTGACGACGTCTCGCTTGCGGACGCGACCTTCGCCGTCTGGGTCCTCGTTCGACATCGAGGAGCCGCTGCGGAGATGAGATGCAGAAGGCACGGAGTGGTCGTCCTGGTCGTGGGTGTTTGTCTTTGCGGATGCTGCAGCTGACCGGAGCGGGAAGGCATTCTTCTGCAACGCTAATGCGGCGCCGCGGGCTACCTCGAACAGACCCATGGGAGCTTCTTCATGATGGAGACGGTTCTGTGAGGCATGCGCCCGTGCTCGTCGGGCTTGGTGCTGTCGCGTTTCGAACGCGTCTTGTTCGCTGTCCGTGGGGCCGAAGCCTCCTGGAAGGGTGGTGGAGGTGAGGTTGTCGGCTTTGGTATCCCAGATGTCCTCTTCCTCGGATTCGCGTGCGCGGAGGGCTGCGAGTTCCTCGTCGCAGCGGCGCCAGGCGCCCAAGATTTCAGGAAGAGGTTCGGGTGTCGGGGCAAGTACAAGGGCGAGAGAGAGGAGTTCCATGCGTTGGGAGAGGTGCGTGATTTGGGTTTGGTTGTTGGGGGTGGCGCTGGTGGCGCTGGTGGCTGGGGCGCGGTAGCGGCCGGCGTTGTAGACGGCTCGCCAGGTGATGTCGTCTTTGGGGGATGTAGGATTGGTGAGAGGGGAGGATGTGGGAAGAAGGGATGGGGGAGTGAGACGGGTGAGAATGTAGGAGTAGGCCGTGCCGAAGTCGTTTGAGGAGAGGGCGGAGGAAATGGCGAGGGACATGATACGGCGTTCGGCGGTGATAGCGGCATCTTCCTGTGAGGGAGGGGATAGGAAGGGGGAGACATCTTCGTCAGATGGAGAGTGGGAGACGCCTGCGAGGACAAGGTTCCGGCCAATAGCTAATAAGTCGTCCAACTTGGTGTAGCTCTTGGGGTTCTGGTCGAGAACTTTCTCGATCAGGGAGAGAGGGTCTGGGTGGACACGGATGCTGACTGGCTGGAAAGGGACGCCGTGCTGCAAAGTAAGGGAGTAGAAAGACAGGGCGTGTGTGGCGGATATGAGAGCTTGGATCTGCTTGAAGGAGGCAGAATCTGAGAAGTGAGGTTGGAAAGCTTGTAGACTGCAGGGCATTAGCGTCTGTCCAAGGCAATGCGCGTTTATTTTTTTCGACTTACATGTCGTATGCTCGCTTCATTCCGCCCCTGGTCCTATTTCCGTTGCTCGCGTTGTCGTAGGCTGTGAAAATGGCCTCTTTGACGGCTTCTTCAACTTGTGTAGAGCTCAGGGTCGAGCCAGAGACAATGTAAATGCTCACAGCAAGGTGGTATTCTGTTGTTGTTAGTAAAGGCAGAATAACAAAGACGTTTTCCGTGCTCACCTTTGGCTTCAAGCAACGCTTTCAATGTTTCTGCCTCGACGACATCCTGCGGAACTCTCCAGAAGAGACCATGGTAGGCGGGATGGTCGCTGGTGTGTTCCGTGTGATCGGCTTGCCAGTCCCGTAGCCATAGCAATTGTTGGCGAGTCTTGCTCCAGTCATGACCCGATCTTGCTTGTCTTACGACAGAGGCTATGACACCGCGCAATTCGAGCAGCTGCGTTTCCTGATTATTGAGGAGACTGATGCTTGCCGCCGTCCTGCACGGAATCGGATGGCCTAACTCGTTTAGTATCCGCAGAGAGAGGCAGATACCACTGAGGAAGGAGATTGAAGAGGCTGAAGGACGCGTCAGAGGGTTTGAGGCCACCAGCAGAGCATTCTGCAACAGAGATACCCTTGATGCCGACGAAATCGGCGCTGGATCGAAGCTCACGCTCGGGAATTCTGAGTTGTCCAGTGAAAAGAACAAATGTTCTTCGAGCTTCAGGAACTCCGCGATGCGCGCGAGTACTCGAACGGAACCGTCCAGCGCCGTAGGGCTGGGATCAGCGTTCGCATATACGACAGCAAGCCCAGTCTGTCCGTACCTCCTTCGCAAGTCTCGCAGCTCATCTTCGGACAGGCCGTCATTCTCTTCGGAATATCCGCCTAAATCGACATCCTCAGGCCCATCCCAATTAACAAAGGCGTTCACCGCACTCTCATGATCAACCAGGCTTCGTGCCAGCAGCCACTCATTGACTTGCTGCCATCCGACACCTGAGGCTGATTTTGGTTGCGCTTCATCCTGAGGTAGAACAATCGAGGTCTCTTGCATCGCTTCATTGAGTCTCCGTCTTTTAGAACGGTTACTGCCATACATCCACGCACCCACAAGGCCGCGTAGGTTCCGCACCAAGTCCATGCTGCTCTTTGTCGCACCGGTCATCGAAAGAAGGACGTTAATCGCAATACTGTTGTCCATAGACTCCAAGATATCCAGCGAGAATGTTTCGTCTTGGCTGGGGTAATACTCGTAGTTCAATCGGAGTAGCGGTAAGAGACTGGAGATCAACCATGTGCGTAAAACTTCCGAGCGTTGGTAGAAGGGGAGGAGAAGATCGAGGACGAGGGGTTGAAGAGCGGTTTCTAAATCGATGCGATGGGCCCGGTGAATGAGGAATTTGGTGAGAAGGTCAGAGGGATCCTGGCTGTCCTCGTCGCCGGGATACTGTAATGGTAGTAAACGGATCTTCCGTACACGTCTCCTCACGACCGCGGCGGGTAGGTCTTTAACGGAGGAGGTATCGATGGTAGCACCACTGGTTTCAGGTAGCTGTTCATCTACCAGCGCCTGCAGCACTGGTGTGTAGGAGCTAGGCTCTGTGCTCTCGGGCAGAAAGGTCAAGATGATGCGCAAGACACGCTCGAGCGGGAGGTGGGCAGGGAACTTTGCCTGCAAGTGCGGAAGAGCAGCCACATTGCCGGTGGCACAGAGATGGGTCGCTAGAAGAATCGCATGAGCACCTGAGAGCCCTTGAAGGACCGCCATGACGTCTGGAGAGGGAGCAGCAGAGAGAGCATGATGGAAGAGGGTGATGTGTTCGGGAGACACAAAGACGTCAGGTGCACGGGCCAGGGTCGGGGCGGAAGGCGGAACAGGCGAATCATCGGCGAGGGAAGAAGAACCTCAAATCGCGATCCTCACCTCCGCTCCCTCGCAATCCTAATCCCCTCGTCTTGCTCCCCCCCGTTCTTCCCCACCACACTCACTCACAATGGCTTCCGGTTTCGGTAACAACGGCGGTACGTCTATCTATCCTTTGCTGTCAAGGTTCATTGACAGCCAGAGTGTCCGGGTTGGCCTACATTGGGCGCCCGACATGTCACTCTCCCGCGGACATTCCCGGCTAATCCCAATCGCTCTGTGCAGGTCCTTCCCGCTGCTACAACTTCTGGCAGGAGGTTCTCGGTTGCTACGTCGTTAACGGCGGAGAGGGTGAAGCTGGCAAGAAGAAGTGTGTGCCCGCTCTGGAGGATTACTACGAGTGCCTGCACCACAAGAAGGAGGTACGCCTATCTGTCTAGCTTCATGCGATCAAGTTCATACTCGGTTTTGCGGATCTTGCTAACACTGTCCCCGACGCTTAGGCTCTCCGCACGATGAAGATGCAGGCCGCCTACCGCAAGGCTGAGGCCGCAACCCCCCGTGAAAACGCGCCCAAGGCGGAACAGATTCGCAGTCTGGGACTGCTAGGGAAAGAGGAGGAGGCAGCGGCATTTTTGGCCAAGGCTTGAGGGATGATATGCGCATATCTGGTGCGAATACGTGTTGATTTTTTCCATTGTCACTAAAGCTATGCTGTTTTTTTTCTGTTTACCCCTGTGGAGTCCTTCGATGTATAGAAATGGACAGTTTCATTGATCAATTTTGGGGTGCTTGCTGCGATTTCAATGGAGGGAAGGATATCTGATCGGT